TTTGCATGCCCAGGAACCATTTCTACGAGATATCGTTTGAAAGAAATAAATGAAGACAGCTTGTCTGCAACAATCAGGGATCGTGAAAGAAAACGTCTAGAATCAAAAGCAAGTAATTTGTGCCTGTTTTAGTAGATCAGAGTGTGTGATGTTAGCTCTCATTTCATAAATTTAAGTCCACAGTTTGGATAATCAGGCAATAGACTTCGTTGGTTCCTTGGTTAAACATTCTGAACAATACTAAGGAGTTTGGAATTTAGATGGCAATCAATAATTTCTCTATCGTGAATTTCTTGCTCAGTCTCCCAAGCAGACGCCTTGGTAGCATCTTTGACCACTCCATGCTTTTCATTCCCTCACCACTCACCCTCTACTTCCACACAGCGCTTACTCTTCCTTAAAAATATCACCAGGTTATATATTTTCACAACCCTGGGCCTTTGCTGATAGTTTTTCCTTTCTCTAGAAATGGCTTCAACTGCCTTGCCTTCTACCTTACCACCATGAGGTCATCCTTTACATCTTTCCAGTCCTTCCTTTTATACCATACAGGTCATAATTTAGCACACGTTCTCTAGGCTCCCACAGCAGAGTGTGTGTGCCCATTTTATAGACTTCATATCATTGTGCTACATTTGTTTCCTCCTTGACTTCAGGTGCTTGAGAGCAGAAACCTCACTGGGGTATCCTCAGCCCCTAGCAACCATGCTTTATGTCTAACATACAACTTATGTTCATCAAATGTTTGTAATATTAATTGATGTAAGATTGTTGCCTAAGATTCTTATTGGAAGAACATTATAATGTATAATCTCTGAATTATATTCCAAGGACAATATAAAAATAATATAGGAAATATGTAATGATACCTTGAAAAAGAGAGACATTGTTTGGTTTCTATAGATAAAAGCAATAAGGAATCTATTTTGAGAAATAATTCTCAGTTAAAGCCAACAGCCAGGGTTATCACTTTATAGCCCTCTAATTGAGAACAGGCTAAATCACAAACTCTTTTATTATGCTAGCTTTCAATTTAAGAAGGTTGACTTTAACCAGTCAACCATTAATGCCTTTGATGGGAACTTTTTGGCACAGATGAGGTTTTCTACAAAGAAAGGTAAAAAAAAATAATAATAAAATAAATTTAAAAATCCGGCCTTATCTCTTCTGTGCTGATAATGATTTTTCTTGTTAAATTCAGAATGGTTGCAGAGTAACTGGATGTGTTTGCTAATTTAATTTAAGTTAAACCACTTATCTGTCCCATCATTATCATAATAGAGTTTCCCCTTAGCTCTGTAGAAATTGAACTAAATGGAGGTGGCGGTAGGTGTTTTTAGGTGGCAACAGAGACAATAAATTGCAAGGAAGCTGAAAATTACACATGCTGATTAAATTACATTTTCTTTAAAAAAACATCACTAGAAAAACGTTTCACTTTGGCACCTGTTTCTTAGAAAGGGCAGCACAAAAAGGAGAATTAGCATCTCCAGAAGTTAAAAGAAAAAAAATTAAGGTGCAAAACAGAGCTGGGTGGGAATGGATTGATTCTTTCAGGGAATTCTTGAGCTGACTGGGAGTACTGTCTAACCTGAGCCTAAAGCTGATGACTCTACATAGCTATAAAAGTTCAAGTCTAGGTAGGAAGGAATTAGAGGAATATATTTTGAACTGCTTAGTCTTTTGAAAAACAATCTTTAAGACCCAATAAGAATGTGTTTTTGTCTCTCTCTCTCCACATCCCTTTGGTTTTTCACATCAGGAGGCTCCATCTGCTGCCAAAGCTTAATCTCTCTTGAGCACTGTCTTGGGAAGGGTTGCTGGATTCTATGACCTGCTTCCTGTAACAAGCAACACTTTCGAGAGATAAGGCCACTTCAGAAGGAAGCTGAATAAGGACTGCCTAGGTTACATTATTACTGGAGCATAGGTAGGTTGCCTTCATTAAAATAATTTATTCTGCCCGGCTGGGTGTGGCTCAGTGGTTGAGCATCAACCTAGGATCCAGGAGATGGGGGTTCGATTCCTAGTCTGGACACATGCCTGTGTTGCGGGCTCCATCCCTTCGGGGGAGTGCAGGAGGCAGCCGATCAATGACTCTCGCATCACTGATGTTTCTCTCTCTCCCTCTCCCTTCCTCTCTCTGAAATCAGTAAAGATATATTAAAATAATAATAATAATAATAATAATAATAATAATAATAATAATAATTTCTTCTTTCTGGGCTTGATTCTTGGCAAAGTTCTTAATTCCTTAGCTCTGGGGGGAAATGCAAATAATCTCTGAGAGAAAACGTCCTTAGCATTTTCCTTATTTAAGTCACCCAAAGTCAAAATAATAGTTGTGGAAGGTAGAGTGAAGAAAGATAAGTGGGCTTGGGAACATGAAGATCTCACTGTGAGAGCAGGAGACAGGCAGGCATAAGCACTGACACAGGGACACCTGAGAGGTGACACAGGATGGTGGGCGTCTCCTGGCCAGTCGCAGGCAGAGTGCTCGTAAGAACCAGATGGCTGAAGAGCAGTGATGGGTCAAACAGCGGTAGAGGGGCTCAGACACCAAAAACAAGGCAAGGTGGCCAGGGCGCCAGGGCCAAGCAGAGGAAATAAAGGGTAGGGATAAGGGAATCTAGCCTTTACTGAATCCACATAACCTGCCGCACGCGCTTTTCTCGTTTCATCTTCCCCATAAGTCAGTGCGGCGTAAATATTATGACACATCGGTTTTATATAAGGAAACCATGTTTCAAAAAGATCAAGTAAATTTCTCAAAGTCAAAGGCTAATAAGATTCAAAACGAGCATTCAAACCTTGAAAAGTATTTCACTTCAAAGCCAAGTGATCTCTGTTTTAAAGTTCTCTAAAGTAATTGGGATATATATTTCCAAGTGGGAAAAGCCCATGATGGGGCATAGCCCATCTCAGGCCTACAGGTACAAATGGGTACATCTCACTAAAGGAAAATAATGGATTCAAGGTAGATTCATCAGTTACACCTCAGTGTGAATAAATGATACATCAGGTCATTAGATCCAATGCTGGCTGGAGAGCAAACGATGACATTGATCAAGCGACATGGAGGAGATGTGAACACACACACGCACGCAGGAACTAATGAAGTAAACTGCTCCCTTTTTCCAAAAAGGGATTGGAATATTAGGAATAGCCTTATTCCCAGTGTGGGTACAGATGTGTACATATATATGTACACACACACATATACATATATATGTATATAATGCAAAGCTATGCATAATACACTTAATAAAATAAATTAGGGACACTTTTAGAATAAAAATGTGTTCTAGGACTTCTGGAAGAGCAATCTTATAAAGAACTTTGCTTAGTGTTAATCAATAGCTAGTTGAAGCCCAAATAGACAGTGGTAGGACCTGGGAGGGTCCAGGTGGAGGGACCCTTAGTTGCTCTCCTATTGGCTAAGAACCACCACTCACGTTGCATCATAAGTGAGTGTGATGTTAGCTGCTTTCTTCACTAAATAAACCCCAGGAGGGTCTGTACTTAGACACACAGCCTTCTTCAGCCTGGAGATGCTGGCCTATCATCATCTTTGCATTACTTTTCCCTCTGGACAACTTCTGTCTAGTGTGCAACCATAAAAGTGTTTTATTACTAATTTATTACTAATTTATTATCCTGAGTAAAAATTGCAGCAGATACACTGAAAATAATAGCACCACTTAGAAAGTTTTTCACAAAATTTTATATTCAAAACAATTTCTTTTAATTTCTATTTAAGTTATAATAAAAGCTATTATACTTTTCTTTAGCATTCTAATTTCTATACTCTTGCTAATTAGGCTATTCCCATTAAGTGAATATGCTTTTAATTGACAATAAATTTACCTCAAGGTACAAATAGTTATCCCCAAATGACTTTATCCCCAAATTTCTATTTTTTCCCCTATGAAACATATTTTAATATGTTTACTTTGATTTTTGCTTCTAGCCCACTCATACCCCACACTAAAACTTTGGGCTGTTGTATGAATGAGAATCTATTTTTACCTCAATTTACTTTTATACCTTAATGATTTGTATAGGCTCAGCACAAAACCAGGGTACCTTGGCTACCTCCTTGGCCCTTATGTCTTATACCCAAACCTCATGCCACTTCCTTTTTGTGGCCCTGTTAACCAAGTCATTCTTTCCTGAGATGGTTTCATAGGGTTATGACAAAAGAAATTTAAGCCTGAAGAGGCTGGCGGTGCCCATAGACATTCTGTAAAAAATTTCTTATGAGTGGGTTTTTGGGATTTTGATTTCCAAACATAATGGAGTAATTGGTAATATACTTGCTCTTGCACCATAAGCAACTAGAAAACTCATAAAAAATATGAGATAACTATCTTTGGAAACTGGAGAACAAACTGAACAGAACACTGATTCATGAGAGAAGGGAAGCAAAGGATGTAAGAACAATCACTACATTCTGTTCGGAAGGATTTTTCACACAATGGTTTAGGGAGGGAGAACCCCCCAAAATGGCAAGCTTGCTGCATGGAGGGTGAGAGCAGGCTCAGGTCGGGGCAACGGCGGCACTGCGCACAGTGGCGCGTCAGAGGCGAGGTACAGAGGGAAGGGGCCCCAGTGAGTACACGTGGGCTCAGCTGCTGAACACTAATCTGTGGTTACCTACAGGAGAGCTCCACGAGGCAGGTGCCTTTCAAGGGCATTATTCCCAAAAGAGCTTTACCCCATTTGAATGATTTATTAGACTTGACGAAAACTAAACATAAATAAAAACCTTAGGTAGTTATTTATTTTCTACAGACCTTCATCTATTAAGAGGAGCTGAAGTGTAGGCGAGAGTAGAGGGTCTGTCTCTGTAGCTCATACCATTTGGACAAAATGGAGACCTAACACAATTATTAAATGCTTACATATTTATGACAAATGTGACATGAATTATGAGAGAGCTATTGAAGACAGGGTTTTGAGCAACCACTTTTCTTTTAAAATGTAAAGCACAAACTTTGAAAGAACTAGAAATACTTTATTTGGTGGAATCATACAAACAGATGAGATTTTAGTTTGTATTTTTCAAGTGCTATCATCATTGTAACTTTAAGCAGATAAGCCATAACAATTATTATTAACAATTAATCCTAATTGATTTGTCTAAACTCTAATTACAATGTTATCATATTTTACTTTTTATCAAGTAGTTTTCATAACGAAAGTGAATGAAACAATAATATAATGTAGAAAAGCACTCAGAGGAAAGCATCCAAAAGTATTATTTTAGAAATTAATTTTGATATATTTATATTAAGATATTTTGTCAGTGTCTGTAGTATATCTGTGTATAAGGGTGGTTGTCTTGAAATCCCTATTTTACACATTGGAAAACAAGCATAGTGTGTTTAGTAAATTTTCCAAGGCCATACATTGTGTCAAGATAATACTGGTAATCGAATTTATCTCTGATATTTTTCTTACACAGATCAGTTTCTAACACAGTGCTCTAGAAAGACTAAATGCTCAATAAATAGTCACTGGATATAAGAATTAATGAATAAATAATTTTGTTCTATAAAATTAAAAAACAAAAACTATTATATTGCTCTCTATTTCCTTTACTCACTAAATTGGATAAGCTGGAGGAGCAGTTGAGCAATAAACTCCATCCTGTAATATTACAAATTTCCATTGCTACATAAAAGGGCTTTTCGAGATGGTACCATCTGGTCAATCCTGACAGTACACATTTCCAGGCCCCCCGTAAGGAGTGTCATTAATCTTGGTTCATTGTAATGTTAGCTTTTGTGGTGTGAGTTAGGTCCACCAGCATGTGGCGAAGACCAAATTCTCTCACAAAAGTCAGTGAAAGTCCATTATTAATAATGAACATGTTACTGATGCCCCAGCCTAGTGATATTTTGGTAAGACAGTGTTTTAAATCTCAGAATTAAAGAACTTAGTTAGTTGTAGTCCTTGAAAATAAATCACTTGGCTAGTATCAGCTCTGGCTACCTTGCCATAAGTTAAGTATAATCCTAGAAAAAAATAACTCAATTTGTTTCCTGAGTTAATTTGCCATAAGTTGAGTTGCAACTGTAAACATGAAAAGATCACAGTAGCATGACTTTTAGAGTTACTAGAAAAAATGTGATAAAGAACGTAAGTGTTTATATCACTCGGAGACAAAAGATGGCAAAACCACAATAGTCATTCCCAGTGATGCGTCGTCAAGTAAGTTAAAGATTGTCATTCATTTCATTGGCTTTAATAACCAATTACCTACAAAACAAGTAAGACATCTCATGATGCACTTATGTTTAAAATGTATTCCTTCAACTTTGATGACAATCATATTTTTCCTTTTTGAGAAAGAAAAGTTATTTAACTCCACAGAAGGATCCCATTAAAGTATAATGAAAATACTTTTGCATCTGTCACTGAAATTTAGTGATTGATCTAAATTTCATCCAGGTGATATTTTTATTAGGGCACCGTCCGGAGAAATCTGAAAATTCTACGTCTCATTTGCTTGTATTTTACACAAATGATTCACCAGACCTGCCTAATTAGATGGTGTATTTCCACTAGAGTGAATGTCATAATTACAATTCAAGATAAATCTTAGAGATAAGATTTATCAAATATTTCTATTCCTTCTTGTCATGTCTGAAGTTCAGAGTATGTTGAGCTCTAAAAGAGCATCACAAGAAACTTATAGCACTCTTTGGTGCAACTGTAACCCAGTCTTAGAGCGTAGCCACAACTAAAATAGAAATAGATATAAATAAAATTAAACTATTAAACACCAACTTATTGGTAAATTGAGTTTAGATACCTACATGATACAAAAGAGTAGCTTTTACATAGGTTCCTGTATTCTTAAAACTTAAAGCGTAGTCTGTGTTTTCATTTAAAAATACCTATCCAACTGAAGTCACGGGTTTCATTTTGTAATTGTGTCAATTACATTTAAGAAAACTATTATTAAGTAAACATTAAATTAATTTGTGAACAATCCTACAGTGACTAGAAATGGAAAAATATAAGCACCCACACTAGCAACAGATACAAATAGCAGAGTCTTGAGCCCCAGATCTTTCAGCATGTCTGCTATTATTCAATCCCTTTACTCACGTTTCTCCCCCACATCAGGCAGAATAGTAAATTATTTTCAAAGAAATTCCCCAAATTCCTTTATTTCACGTGTCTGACCAGTGTGGACAAATGGAAGATCCTGTCCTCAGAGTCTCAAAGCATTTCTAATGATGGCACATGTATCTATTGTCCTTGTTGCTTCTGTCCTGGAGAACCTGGCGGGCCAGAGCTGTCCCCAGGGCGCTGTGCGGGAGTGACAGGAAACTGAAATCCATAGCCGTTGTAACCATTCAAGTACACACACTGAAAGAAACTGATGGGGCCTAGGGAATGGAACAGGGTAATCAGTCAAAACAGGCAGAAGGAAGGTGAAGGCCGGCAAGGCCGGATATTACAATGCAGCTGACGTGGCTCCTAGAGCCAGGTAGCTTGGCGATGGCTGGAGGCTTACCCAAGCTTTGTGTCTTGGATTCCTCATGTGTAAAACTGAGACATCAACAAAAACCTCATAGAAATGTGGAAATTAATAAGTAAACACACATGAAGCACTTGAAATACTTCCTGGCACATAATAAGCCCTTACTAAATGATAATACAAATGGCCTAGCATAAAGTCAAAGTGCTTTCTTTATAGAAAGCTACTGATGTGCACAGCATTCAGAAAAACTGTTACGTAGGTTTCAAAACACAAGTTTATCAATATGCAAGGTAACCAACTTCTTCTTGTTTTTGTAATGTTTTAATAATACCACGGAGCGCCTATGGTTCCTAAATTGCTGAGGTTTTCCACTGGCCCTCACTCCGGGGCCAGTGCTCTCCTGAGATGCTGTGGGACTCACTGAAGCAGTGCCTGCAGGTAGCAGCTCTGCCGTCAGAGCAGAAAGCAACACAGGGACGGAGAGAAGCCGCGACACAGGGGGCGCAAGCAGGAGCTCCGGGCCCCGGGGCGGCTTGTCCAGCCTCTCCCCACAATCCCGCACACCTACCGACCCGTCAGTGCTTCCCCCTGCCCGCTCGCATTGTCACCGCGCAGACTTTTTGCAGGTGGCCAGGAAAGAGAACGGCAACCGAAGCTATTAGTACGGGGAATATGAGGCAGCTGGCTATGGGAAGGAAGTCAAGGGTGAAGAAAAGCCTGGGTTCAAAGAGGCTGAGGGAAGCAGCAAGATATGATTCAAGAGATTAATATTCAGGGACTGGTGTCAACTGACTTCAGTCCTTCGGTTTTCAATGATGAAAATAGTTGGAGAAATCTTGGAAGGAAAAAAAAGTTACTTTCCTTTCCACTTCATCTCATGCAGAATTATTTTCTACTTTGTTCTAGTACCAAACATGCAGGAACACAACTCGCGCCAGCCCCCCAGCCCCGAGGTTGCGGCAGCTTGGGGGATAGACAGGCTGCCAGGGGGGATGGCAAAGAAAGCCAGGCCGTGTTCAGGGGGAACGAGAGCACCACTGCTAAAAGCAGGAGAGTCCAGCAAAGGCACCCACCTTCCGGCTGAACCTTGTCAGAGGCAGGTTCTGTTCTGACACATTTATTTAATTGGTGTTGAATAGGTTACTAATGAAAACATCACTATAGCTGCAGGTTTTAGAGCTTATGTAAAAGGCGCATGAACATCTGACTATAGGACTACTTCACAGTAAGTTGAAAATAGGAACCGTTGTTTTGCTACAGTAAGTCTGCCAATGCAATTAAAATATGTAATATCTTTTTATAAAAATATTGATTTATTTATTTTTCATTAAACTTTTTCATTTGAGACCATTGTAAAGTCACATACAATTTATAAGAAATAATGCAGAGGGACCCCATGTGTCCTTCACCCAGTCTCCCTGAATGGTAACATCTTTGCAAAATTATAGCGTCATACCTCAACCAGGAAACTGACACTGATACCATCCACCTATCTTATTGAATTATGCTTTAATATTTATTTATAAGAGATTTTAAGTGTTTATGTGATATTGCCACAAATTGTTACCAGTAGGTTAAGAATTGGGAAAGTGTTGCTGTATAAATCAGAAACATGCCCAGACTGACTTTATGGATTTTGCAACAACATCTAAACATATTGGTAAGATTGCTTCTTTCCTTGTATTTCTCACATTCTGATAATTTGAGACGTTATAATGAGTATCTCTAACACCTAAACAGAGCTTGGGACACAGTAGGCTCTTAATATTCATTCAATGAATCACATTCTAATACAGAGTAGGAGGCATTTACTAGTGCAGAGGGCATTTTTATAATCACCTGCAGAAATATATTTAAGAAGCATTGCAGAACCCAGAGAACAGACATCATTTCTTCAGATAAATGCCTATTCTTTACTTTAAAAGCATTATGTAAAACGAACTCATTATACCTATTTTTAAAATTGCTTCTTTTATTCTGTCCATCAACAATTTTAATGCATATGTGAATCCAAAACTGGTATTCAGATGGTATTGCTTTACCATCTGAAGAAAAATGTCTGATTTGGAAGTAGCAGAACAAGGATCTTAGACACTGAATTTTGTAGCTGCACATGCATATTGATCGCATCCTAGAATCAACGATCTCCAAAATTGAATATTAAGAGCCTACTATATATGTAGATAAATAAAAAAGAACTTTTAACCAATGACCTATACCTACATGTTTTCCTTTTTGATATGAGAAAGTTCAGCGTATCACTTCGGCTGTCTTTTTTATAAAGCAGACAGTAACGCATCTAAGCACAGCTCAGCTGAAGTGCTCAGGAGCAGAGCTGTGGAGAATGGTTGGAGATAAATGCCACTTCAGCCATTCCTTTGCCATTCCTCCAAATACATGCCTCTTGCCTGACACAAAAAGTGATGAATTTATCTTTGAAACATAAATGATCTATTTCAATGTTATACTTTATGTCTGTGCTAAAAATCTTTTTATTCTGATACTGGTCTTCAGAGAGTTCAGTTTCAACTTATTGTATATGTAATATCTTTAGCATAGATTCACTTAACAATTTTAATCTAATTATAAACTTACTTTTCTGCTTCTTTGTGGAAGACACATCTTCAGCTTCTTCTACTGGATACAAAAATATGAAAGTAAATAACTTTTACATTCACAATTGTTATACAACAAATATGAAAGGAACTAAAAATGTCTAAACAGGTGCACAGAATGAAAGAAACAGGAACTCCTTGGCCTCCTTATAATATACTCCAGGTTCTTATTCTGTTCAGTCTTTCACTACAAAATTTAACAGGTAAGAGCCAGTGAGAGAAGAGGAGCCAATAAAAGAAAAGAATGTAGCCTGCTCCTGGCAACTGTTCAAATAGGAAACTTCCCGATGTGTTGGATGTTGGTGGGCAAGGGCCAGCAGACACACATTCCACTCTTAAAAGAGAAATCTGGTGCTGTTATAATATGGTAAGAGTCCAATCTGGCTACAAGATGACCACTGTAGTCAAAATAACTCTAAATTAGAGAAGGCCATAAGCCTTTAGTGACCATCCTCGCCATGAAAGAATAGCAGTAGACAGGCATCCTGGATCCTTTCCTTTTCTTACCTGATACAAGGACTTTTTTGCTGTGGTGATAAGCACTATGTGCTTTTCTAGTGATGGGTAATTTGAAGCTATTCATTTGAACCCCTCTCTCCAGGTTAGGAGCCCTTCTCTATAGATGGGCTTTGGTGGGTAGGGTTTCTGTAAAACCCTGCGGTATTAAAATGTTAAGATGTGAGTATATGTGTATGTGTGTGTGTGTTTTATCAAATGATAGGTTTTAGATTTTATCAAATTCTAAACAAGTTCAAGAACCTCCCTTCTCAAAGTGTGATGCATGTACCAGTAGTTTCATCATTATTTGGGAAATTGATATAAATATAGTTCCTAGACAGCAACTCAGACTTATTTCATTTTAAGAAGATTGTCAGGTGATTCATGTATAAGATAGTTTGAGAAGCAATGGTTTAGAAATCAAAAATAATATATTGAGTCATTGCTCTTTATAATTCATTTAAAAAATCTAAAAATGTATCTTAAGACAAGTATAATTCATTTTTCAGAAGACTCAGGTACCCAATTCCATGTGTCTTTTCGCAAAGCACCATTTTCTACACTGCTAATTAATTCTGGGCACTGCCACAGAACTTACATTTTCATGGCAAGAACAACTCTTAGGCAAACTCTTATTGTCCACAGGCAAGTTTAGCAGTAGAATAGAAAATATCTGTTATGTAACAAGTCAGACTAGGATGCCATGAAACCCTTCAGGAAAAAAATGCCTCAAATTAGTTGAAACCCCTGCAATAAAGAAGAAATTTAGTCCTGGGAAGACTTGTTCAAAATTGTACATCTAGTGGTACTAGATTTTTATGAGGTTTGAGGCCTGCCTTCTTTCCTTCCTTCCTTTCTCCCTTCTTCCCTCCCTCTTTCCTTCCTTCCTTTTTTTCTTTATGCTACTGCTGCAAGTATAGGCAAGTTCTCTTATTTTTTCTTAATGAAAATATGTTAAGCTCATATTTGAACATTTATCTGCTCCTCCTGCTGTCAACTAACATCCCCCTAATCCTTGATGATATGATAATTTTGAAATATTGCTCTTGTAAGCAGATTGGCCAATAAATGCATCTAATAGTTACTTGTAAATAAACCAGTGTCCAACTAGTAACTTCAATATATGAAGACACACACACACACACACACACACACACACACATAATGAAAAAAGCTGTTTGTATAAAAACACATCTACCATATAAACATTGCTTAGGAAAAGGTAAGGACTAGGCCAAGAATAGCTAAATAAAACAGGCAGTTGAAATATTATGGTCTTGAGAAAAAAATTCGTAAGTGAACTTATGATAATAAACTCACCTTCAGCTTTCTTTGAAGCTGGAACATCTTCAAAATCTTCTAGAGTAAAAAATAAAAATAAAAAAAATTCATTTTCCATATTTCCCAAATTGAAAGTATTGTATTTATTGGGTTTCAAGAGTCACAGGATCTTTTAACTTATAAAGTGGGCATCTAGTGTCTCTACAAATAAGAACCTCCAGAGAAATAAGGCAAATTCTCTGACTTAAGAAAGCATGGGGAGGAAACAAATGCCATGATGCCAGGACTGTGGTCAGCAGGCAGCAAAGGCTGGCTAAAGCAAGGAGGGCCTGCAGTGACCCTCCCCAAGGTGCCCTCCCTCCTCTGACTCCTAAATCTTTTTTTTTAACCATCACTTTAGGAATTTAGAGAATTTGAGGTAAGTGATTCTCATACACAATGTAGGCCAAGAGGAAAATATCCATCCACATATTTTATTTACATGACTTTTGATAATTGTAAAGGCAATGAAAAAGCATTAAATGTTGAAATACAGCTTAAATATATAAACAATGACTCATAAGATGCATTATTTATATTGCTTGTTTTTTGTGTATTCTACTTAAAAGTACATAGTAGAATAATGTGGAAATAATTTTGTTAGAGATAATTCTTGCACAATATTAATTATATGATCTTTAAAATTTCATATCAACCTTTAGCACTAGTAATGATCTGAAAGAGGGTCAGTTTTGTATTATTTATTCATGTTTTGCATACCAGCAGTTCATGAATAAATAGAAAAGGGGTAAAACAGGTCAGTATGCAAATTTCCTCAAACAGGAAAGAAAGGTGACCTTTCTAGTTTAACAATCAAAGTAAAAATTACCTTCAAGTTTTCCTGTAATTTGTTCATTTAAGAAATATTACTTTTCAGCTATAATGATTACAATGAGCTCTCTTTCTGTGCCATGTATTCTTTTAGGTATTTTACATATGTTTTCACTTAAGCCTCACAATAGACCTATAAAATAGGTAGAATAATATTCATTTTACAAGAGAACATTGAGGTTAAGGTAATTTAAAAAAAATTTCCCTTTAAACAACACATTTGAAAAAGTGCTAGAAGATAGAAAGTTAATTTTTCTCAGCGTCTGGACCCTTGTGATTTTAACTAAACTAGTCTATCTCTACATGCAAAGCACTGCTACATGCTCTGAAAGAACCAACAAGAAGCATAATACTACCTGGAAGCAACTGGCAGTCAAGTGGAGAAAATGGACATGTACTCAGACAGATACAAGATACTATGGGCCTCAAGGTAGTATGTGACAATTGTCGAAATAAATGGGAGATGTTCTCAAGGGTAGAATGGTCACTTCTTCCTATGGAGATCAAAGACTTTTTTTTTTGAATCTATACCATTGGTGATGGGCTTTGAAGGTTCATTTAGTCAGAGGTGGGAAGAACATTCCAGCAAAAGAGAATGGCAGGGCCAAAGTTTTAGATACAGAAATGTTAAGAACATGGACATTTAAATTGGGTTGAAATCTGTGGTAGGTATAGAAAATAATATTTCAAATGTAATTTAAGCCTGGATCACAGAGGCTCTAGACCCTCAGGTTAAGAAATGTAAAATTTATTCTAAAAGTGCAATGAATAAATATTGAACATTTATTATATACGTGGTCTAATACATTTGAAATATTGGAAAACTTTATCAGTAGAAATGAAAAGGAAGAATGAGAGACATTATTGAGAAGGTAGGTCAGGCTTCAGAACAAGTTGGGGTCTTACCCACAAAGAGATAGATAGCAAGCTTGGATGAGCCCACTGAGGAAGGGTGCAGGAGGGTAGGAAAGAGAGCTAAGAATGGAAGAACTCAGCCTCTGGGAGAAAACAGCAGAGTTCCCATACTGAAAACAACAACAACAACAACAAAAGTCTTATATCACGAGCCAAGAGAGGAAAGCATTTTCAAAAGTGTGGGGAGAGCAACAGTGTCGATGCATCCGGGTGGCCAAGCATGGAGGTGAAGTGAGAAAAGGGAATTAAGCTTTGCGCTTTGGGGTCTGGGTTGAGTCTGAAGGGCCCCATGTGAGGGAGGAAAGCGTCAGGCAGAATATTCAGGTCGCATAAAGTTAACGCCTGAAGGGCTGGTGAAGAATTGCTGGGAGACCTCTTTCAGAATTACGATTATAGATGAAAGCAGAGCAAGAGCACAATAGCATCAGGAGGCAAAAACGGAAGAGAAATTTCACACAAGAAAATAGTGTGAAGATATTTATGGGCAAAGGGAGGAGGGGTCCTTAGAATAAGAGCTGGAGATATGTGGTTGACAAGCAAGGATTAGGGGAGGCGAGAAGGAATGGAGTCACTGAAAACATGCTTTCAGAGAAGCAATGCTTCTTCATTGGAGGATGGGAGGCTAGTGTTAGGTAAAAAAGTGGGAAAGATGGAAAGAAATTATAATTCAGAGAAAAGGAACATTTTAAAGAATCCACATTGATGGCATAGAATATTAATTTTAAAAAAAGTTCTGTGTTGTGGCCAGTCTGCTCTGCATATTCTTAGCAAACATGATAAATAAATAAAAACTTCCTAAATAATGCATGTGTGCACCAGAAGGTACTCTTTATTTACTCCCTTTAGCAGCCTATTCAGATTTGTGCAGAGTTTCAAGAAATACTCATAGGCAAACTCCTGACTCCTTATGCACAGACGCACAGTAACAGTCTGGAGCTTCGGATTCTTCGTCACCCCTTTTCTCTATTGGGTTCCCTGCATCAGTTTGTCTTTGCAGAAATACTAACCGCTCCAAGTTATCTCCTGAGCTGGTTTGCAGGCTATGTGTCAATAGTATGATGAGATATTACATTCTAAGTGTTTACTTTTTTTCCTTTCTAGAAGTCATAAGGATCCACAGTAGTTCAAAGTAACAGCTAACAGTGTTTGTTTTGGCTCTCGGGTATGACAGTCTCCCCTACACGCTGGTATTTAAAACAATCATGAGTTTTAAGGAAAACAAGTTGGTACACGGAGCAATATTCACAGGACTCTTGAAATCGAGCCCAGGGAATAATCAAGGGTGCGGAGACCGTTCACATTTGGAATTTGACACACAGTGACTCCAGGGCATGCAGTAAGCGTGTGCGATCCTCTCTGAGTGTCTGTCCTGTCACTCGGAGGAGAAGACACAGCTGTCTTGAGGGCAACGTCAGGGCCACTTAACATCACCAGGAAATGAATGAGGGCGCGCTGCTGCTATCCAAAGACTGGTAACGAGCAACGACAAACATTTCACCCAATGTGCCTTCTGCACGGACCTTCTCTGGGGTCCAGCTAAAGGCGTAATCGGGGGCAGGGGGTTTAGCATGGCGGCTGGTACTTATTTAACAGATTTCAGCCCAAAGTAATGGCTTCATTTTTTTTTTTCTCCTGTAACAAAATCTTTGTAAATTTAATCACCCTCTTTCCAGATAGTGGGACTGTTTTAAATCCACCCCAAAATAAATGAGATGTTCTTTCTTATTACGATTTCATCTCATCACTTTCTAAATTTTGACACAAAAGCTTAACTAGCAAAATATGTCCTTGACTAGGGAAGTAGCCCAGTATTATGCCATAATCATCACCATCACCATCCTTATCATTATCCTCCTCATATAACGAGAGACATTATTGAGAAGGTAGGTCAGGCTTCAGAACAAGTTGGGGTCTTATCCATGAAGAGATAGCAAGTTTGGATGAGCCCACTGAGGAAGGGTGCAGGAGGGTTGGAAAGGTACCAATTAATAATCACTAATTATGCACCAATCATTAGTTATTCACCCTGTTCTATCTTATTTAATCTGCCCCAAATTTATTATTATAATTCACATTTTAAAAATAAGGTTACTAAGCATGGAGACGTTAAGTAAGTTTCTCAAGTTTATACAGCTTTTAAGCAGATTGGAACCAGTCCATCTGAAGCCAACGTGCCTATCAGACACTGCCTTATAATATCTTTTATATTCCTACCATGAATTTGGGGCTAAGTTGTTTTTAATAAAAACTACATTGATGTTAGTAGTCATCATCAACACTCTATTCCAGCAAGTGATCGACACCAATATTCCACCCCAGCAAGCAACCTCCAACAAAACAAACAAAAATCAGCCATTTCTCAAAACAATCATTATATATATCTGAAATAACATTCAATACACTACATAAAGTCATATTTTCCTTTTTCGAAGGTTTGTAAATATATGTATTAACCAAGAATGGTTTTGTTCTAAAGAAGATTAAATTTTGGGTCCTCTAATGAAAAAATGCCTACAGTTTTAATAGCAAGTTTAGGTTGATACAATTGCCTGGATGTAGCACGTCAGATAGTTTACTTTTTAATTTGCAAAAGTAAGGCATGAATCTTGGTTAAAACAAGATTTGTGAGTCACATTAAAAAACAACTTGGACAGTCAAACTTCTGATAATATAACAGACAACAACTACAAAATCAGATCTTTGGAGTAGTGTTGGGCTCAGAGGAGGTAAAGGAAATCTACAGAATCCTTCTGCCCCAACGGGGGAAAAACCCTCATGATACACGAAAGCTGAAGTCATCATGTGGGCAAGTGCTTATATTAAAGCTGGAATTCATACACTAAGTGTGCAAGGGGCAAAGTTGGGTGCAGCCATCCCTTGTTGTCAGGGATGGAAGGCTGAAAATAAGACTGTCCCAGGAGATTCTGAGAAGATAGTAGCTTCTATCTTTTAACAGATCGTTTAAATCTCCTCCAAATGTCCCATTAAACAGAGAGCAAAACTCATGGATAATATTTATAACAAAATGATATGAAGTTTAAAATACATGTGGATTGGGACAAACGAAGAGTCTAAAAGACATCAGGTGTCAGTGTTTGTAGAGAAGGAAGCAGAGGGAAGCAATGAGAAAGCTGAGAGACTGGAGAACAGGGAACCACCAAATAGCCAATAAATAGATATTTTCTGAAAACTGAGTCAGGACAAGTGGAAATCATCAGCTGAGACTGGAAGGCACTTTGCCCAGTGCAACAGCGGGTGAGCATAAAGGGCTCACCATGATGCCTGAGTGCTAGTCCCTGTGACCTCGGGAAGCTGATGAGCCAGGACTCATTCTCAGGACAGCAACCCACAAGGGGTAAGAAACCGATAGCTGTGGAATAAAAGTTGAGCAGGAGTAGAGACAAAGAAGATAAGGTCAGATAAGTAAGGGAAAGGGAAAAATATATAAGGTCAAAATCAAGGTTTCAATCACAGAAACAGGTCACCATGAGTGTGAGTCTAAGAAACAACAAACAACAAATTTATATCACAAAGCACTTCACATATTGAAATTTTCATACTCAATGCAGAACCAAAAAAAACCCACCAAAAAAAACAACAACACCCCACAACACCACCCAATGAACAGGCATTTTGAAAGTTAGAAACCTTTAAAAAGCAAATCCTAAATGTAAACTATAAAGGAGGTTGTCTAAAAAAAGGAAGTCCTGGCTATTCCTCTGCAGAGATTGTTTGATGTTTCATTAAAAAGTAATTAACTTCTAGAAAAGATAAAGTTTTATCAGTGTGGCCTTATAAAATTAAATTTGTTATCTTTGATATCAAAATTAGATCTCAGAGACTTTATAATGATCCCAAACCTGTCTATGAAGATAGTTTTGTTGAGGTGCTAAATGGCAAAATGCTCACTAGTCAGAATCAAGAAAAATGCTACAGGGCAAGATGCTCAAGTTAAATTTCCACATTGAATTATCTCAAGAAATTTTCTTATTACAATACTCCTTTTAAAATACTCATTTCGATGGGAAAGATAACCTAGCTTTATTTAAATATTGACTACCAGACAATAAGAACAAAACAACTATGGGTCCCTATAAAATCTTTTTCTTGAAACCCCAGCACCCATTGTTATGAGTTTATTATCAATGTCTCAGCCATGTCAAGAGCCTTGCAGCTCCTGTAGCTGAAAGGTCTTCCCTTGGCGCCACCTGCCATTTAATAGTGTATTTTTTTAATTCTTTGCTTTATTTCATATTTTACTTTTTGGAAAGTTCCTGGAGAAGAATGTTTTAAGATATACAGTTATATGTTTTTCAGAGAAAAAGATTCAAAAGTCTTAAAATAATAATATCAGGAAGAAATGGTTGCTCCATTTGAAATTCAATGATGTGTTTATATCGCTTTTAATTTTTAAGGTAATAGATATTATAAATATAGTACAATCTAACACCTCTTGATGTGCTTCTCTAAACTCCATAGAAAACAAATTATTCCATAAAGAAAAAGATACAGAATGAATATAAAATGAATATTTAGAAATAAGAAAACTACTTTAAAAAAAAAGGAACACACAAAACAAGCATTGATTAAACAATAATAGTCTATAAATCATCAAAAATTTGATGTTGCAATGGTACTTTCACTGATGTTATAGAGATATTAGTGTATTGTTGATTCTATCAGCATCTTTTCTTATTCTACAATAGAAACCCAGATGTTTGAGAATCCAGTCCACTGAATGGTTTCAAGCAGCTCAATCAGAATGAACCATTAGAATTCAGGAAGAGATACCTCTCCTCCGTTTTTACACCAGTTATTTCTCACCTATTAATACTCCCCTTTCCTGACCAAAATGTCTAGGAATAAAGGATGGTCCCTGTACATCCAGCACCAAAGCAGAAAAAATGACCTATTGGAGGCAGAGGACCTGGTCCCTTCCAAAAAAACAAGCAATGCAGGCACCAGAGCATATTTAGAGAATGTGGGTAGAAGGGATCATGGCTTCAAGCAGGAACTATTTGTGAACTTCCTTTAGTAATAGACAAATGACCAAAATAAGTAAGTCTAACCCCCCAAAATTACACATGTACATAATATTGAAAAGATGGTTCAGACAAATAACAATGAGGTCTAGTTAAAGTCAGAATTTAATTGAATTGTAGGACAACCAGCTGGTGTCACAGAGAATTGCTTGATGTGGAAAAAGAATCCACACATCTGGTCTGAGAAGTGTTGGGTGTGTGGTAGTTATGCAAGAGCAAAAGAGAAGCACACAGAAGTAAGTTTTTCTTTACACCCATTTTTATCTTTTTCCAGTAAACAAACCTAAGCATTCTTCAAGGTACAAATTCTGGGATCACTTCCTTCAGGAAGTCTGCCCTGACCACCATGGGCTGTAGGGGGAGGTGTGGAGTAGGACAGTTTCAGAGGCCTGTACTGAGGGTCGGCTCCCTTTTGCCCTTGTGTTAGTGAGGAAGTCTGTACCCTTGTAATTATTATCCTTTTTAAAATCCCTAAAGCAAGTCCATATGGAGTTTTACGTTTTGCAGTCAAAGAACTTGGAGTGATATATATAGCTTTGGGGAATTGAAATGTGAGCAGTAGAAAAGGAAATGTGCTGTAAATATAAAATACACACATGCTTCCAAAGGCTCAATAGAAATAATAATAGAAACTATCAATACATTTCTATATTGAATACATGTGGGCATAGTATTTGTATGTATAGAGTTAAATAACATTATTAAAATTGTATTTTTACCCTCTTAAAGTATCAACCAGAAGATTTTAAATTACACGTGTGGCTCACATGCTATTGCACTAAACAACACATTTAAAATAATTTGTTTTTTCCTACTCTGGAAACATGGAAATCAAAATTACTATTTCCTGAAATTTTAGGAACTTGTAGAAAAATGTACAGTTTTATCCTGTATATTTAGAACTCCTACCTATACCTAGATCTTGATATTTTACAAAGTGTTTCCGGAAGGCTTCGTTTATGCTCTACAAGATCAGGTCATTCCCATGTTATTCTCAGACATGCAATTACATTTAACTTAATGAAGATTAGGAAACAACAAAAATCAAAACAAAATTACTTGACCATATATGATCTATAGAAAATTTTTAGAGATTAAAGGTTTAAAGCAGAAACAAGATTATTTTGTTTCATTCTACTTTGATCACTGAAAATGTTTATATATTTGAATGCAAGACACTTTAATTTTCAGACTCAAGAACATGATAAGGTATTTCTGTTACAAGCTGTCATTTCAAATAATGCACTTTTATTTTTTTTAAGCTTCCGCACAAGATTAAAAGTTAACAAATTCTTGTCAGAGGGTTTAGTATAAAATGACTCAATCTCTAAATACATTAAAAATATAAATATTTTATGAATTTTAGCTTGAAATTCATACTGTCTACCAAAGAGAACTTATCATTAATAGATACATTACTTACCTGATGCTCTTGCAGGTTTTTCTGCTAAAAAAGAAAAGAAAACCAGTTCTGTTTAACTCAGATAAAATGCAAAAAAATTACACATCAATGAACTATATAAAAGTTTCTAATATCTTTTAACTTTCTCCTTATTGTCTAAGAGTTAATGAAGAAATATAACTCTCCATTGCCTGAGAACATGGGTCTTTGAATACCTTAATTACTTTTATGTGAGATATAGAAAAAATCTATTAATCTTTGCAGGTGTCACAACATGTTTATGCTTTTCAAACACTTACTAAAATCAGCAGGATCTTTTTTAAATTAAGTGTTTTGGTTCAACTATAATAATACTTGATTTGAGAAAATTACTTTTGATGATATAATTAATCTAAATATTTGTTTTAATTTTCCAAATTTCATAAAAATATATCATTGAAAATTATTTTCCTTTCAAAGGTGAATAAAGACAAATAACTACCAACTGGACTGTAAAATCAAATCTTAAAAAGCAACATGCACAATCAGTTCAATTTTTCATAACTACATATTTTCAATGAGAGATTATAATTCTTCAAAGGAATGTGGTTTTCCATTCAACTGTATTTAGGTAGGACAAAGATATGAAATGAGATGATTGCCTCAGATACTATAGCAGATATTCTAACTTCTTGAAAAAGAAGAGGACTGGTAGCCTCTACGTTCTACCAACATTACCCTAATTTAAAAGATTAGGCTTGAAAATGTTATTTTAAAAAGGAATCTCCATTACACAATTTACTTTGAGACTCGTAGCAGTTCTAATATAGACTTAATTCTGAAGTTTCTAAGAATTACAAATTTATACAAATTAACTTAATGCTAAGAGAAAGGTTTTGTGTGTGTGTTTTTAAAAACACATTTTCTCTTGGGATCCTTATGTTTTCAGTGCTAATTCAGGAACAGACCTCATCTATAAAATTGTAAAACAAAATAATTCAGAAAAATACTTCAGTAAGGTTCATGTGTTATGATTATTTTTCTTTAAAAATACTAGGCCTGGCTAAAAAGACAGAAACTTAGAAGGAATCGGCCTTGACACACTGCGCCGCGGGGACTGGCCGGAGCCGAGCGCTCCCGAGCCGACCCCGGACGCGGGGACGCGGGGACGCGGGGACGCGGGACGGGCCCCACGCAGGCGGGCTCTCCCCTTCTTGCCGGCGGTCTTCCGAGATCCTAACGCGGGGAAGCTCCAGCGCGCGGACTGTTCGCCTACAGCCTTGTACAAGTTTGATTACTCTCTTGTTCCAAATTTCACTCCTTAGTATTACGGATAGTCCTATGCCTCAGTTATGAGGAATTTTATGCCTAAGGTATAGACCTAAAAAGGAGCCGTGAGAAACACGGGCCGGCCC